GGTCGTCTTATACGCCCAGTCGTCTTATACGCCGGCAAATACGGTAATTGACTCTTGATCATTTGGAATGAATAAAAAGTAGTGTTGACATGGTTCAGAGTAGAGCAGTGCTTTCTTTGTGTACATTATTTTGATCCTCAGTCAAGCACACATTTCAATGATGAGTGAATTGAGGCTCAGAGAAGGTGAACTACTCCTTCAAGATTCGAACTCAGATCTGGTGAACCCCAGAATCCATGCTATAGATTCTACTATGCAACATTTAGTGACCACAAGTGTTGGAACAGTTCATTCACACAGTTTGACATATCCTTTGACCATTGGTGGTTTTCGCCAAGGGGTGACGAGTGACATATACTATGAAAATACTACATTAGGACACAGTCAGCAGCCACTAAACAGAAGTGTCCTCTGTGTGAAACTGCGTGTCCTATGAACAGGTGGTCCTAAAACTTGTTGATCTGAAGTGATAAACAATTCTGGTGACAACCAAGGAAAGTTGTCAACTTTTGGAGGAAAACAGACCTCGGTTTGAATTCCTCTAACTGGCTAAATGGCTTTAAGCAAACCATTTGAGTTTTCCCGGCTTCAGTTTTTCTCATCCTTAAACACCAAATTTAGACACTCAATAAATTAAGTGGGCAGTTTCAGTTCCCATAGGCCAGGCATTGCTTTAGGCAAAAGGAAAACAACAGTGGCCCAAACAATGAAACTTGCAGAGGGTGGAGATTGACCAAAAGCAAACACTTTGATGTTTTTGATATAAATATCATACAATGGGACACATTATGCAGAGAATTAAAATAGAATGTAGTGCTAGAGAGTGAATGAGACTACCATAGAATGAATGGTTAGGGAAAACCTTTCTGAGAAGGTGATATTTCACCTTGTAAAGTGTGAACAGTAATGAGACAACCTGACAGGGTGAGAGGGAAGGGCTGGAGGAAACCAGTTGGTGGAAGGCCCTGAGACATGAATGAGACTGGGAAATCGAGGAAATGAAAAGAAGCCAATATAACTGAGTAGGGGTATGAGGCCAGATTTAAGTGATGATAAGAGGTTCAGTTTGGATCTAAATATGATGGAAAGCCAGAGTTTTCAGTAGGGGTAGTAAAATAATCTGATTTGCATATTTAACTGCCATTCTGTCTGGGAAAAGGAAGGGATGGAGGCAGGGGAGCAAGAAGGGAGGGAAGAAGGGAAAACAAACAAAAAAAGAGAGAGAGAGAAAGAAAGTATATCTCTTCTGGTTTTGGTCTCAAAACCCAGAAACTTCAGCTGCATAATGCACAAGCAATATAATTTCTCTTTTCTTTCAGATCAAGGAACCAGGAAGTCCCTGACAGCACAAGATGTTGGGTTCAGACAAGTACACGGCATTGCAGAAAATCTGGTCTTACCACTTTGGTGTGGGTAGTAGAGTGAGAGACCTCAGTGGTTTCAGTTTCAACTCCTTTCTGCATCCCTCTAAACCACTTCTTGTATTCCATCCGTACCTGAAAGTTTGAGATATGTAGAAATTGTGTTACATCCAGAGCTTGGTTCGAAAGAGAGGACTCTAAAATAGGAGACTAAAGATATAAATGCCAAGCCCTGCTCTCTACAGCTCTTTCTTTAGCTTTCTGTATAATAATCTGGGCCATGTTCATGTTGATTCATTTTATTTAAATTCAACTTCCTCAGTCATAGAAAAGGTGGCTACTAAATGTCAAGGACCATAAGGACTCTATAGATGGCAATGATGATGGTGGTGATGAAGGTGATGATGATGGTGATGTGATGATGGTGGTGATGATAATGAGGGTAATGATGAAAATAATGAAGGTGGTGATGGTGATGATGATAAAGGTGGTGATGGTTGAGGATGATGAAGGTAACGATGATGATGAAGTTCACCATTCATTGAAAACTATGTTCAATGCACTTTATACACAATGTACCATTTAATCCCCACATAAATCCAATGAGGAAAGTACTTCTCATACCCTCTATTAAAGATGAAGAAATTGAGGCTCTTGAAGGTATATTGACTTCTTTAAAGTTACACAACCAGCATTCAAAACTTTGTCATTCTTACTCCAGAGCCCTGACACTAAACTACCCACCGTGATCCCATGAATTGCTTTCCTCTAACCTCCTTAAAATATTCTAAAAAAGACATTTGAATATTTAATACTCAACATTAATTCACCAAGACACTTAGGTTGTATTTTACTTCTGTGTGTGAGGAGTACCAAGCATTAAGGAGGCACTAACAGATGAAAGAGAAATTAATGAAGTGTTAGGATGGTTTTTTTGCCACTTGCATCTTAATTGCTGGCCATTCCATTCATTAGCAAAGGAAAAAAGCCAGGAAAACCATTCCCATTCTTCTATAAAGAGTCAAATTATAGTAACGGCCTTCACTGAGAACTTGGTAGATGTCAAGGACTGTGCTAGGAGGTTTATATTGAATTATCTCATTCAATGCTCAACCATGTGAGGCAGATACTGCCACATCTTTGGATGAGAAAATTGAGACTCAGAGAGGGACGCAGTCTGCTCAAGGTCACACAGCAACCCACTCAGTGGAAAAACTGGGAATAGAGATGAAGTCTCTCTGAGTTTGTGGTAAATTTTGCAAAATAATCCAGTGCCCCTCCATGTAGTGCACCTCACTACAGAAGGATATTCATCCTTTCTCTGGTAAGTTCAGATTTGGCTATTTGACTTGCTTTGGCCAGTGAAAGAGAGCTAAGATACACTGTGCTGTGATCGCCTTTCCTTCTGTCATAAGAACACCGATGTTCTATGTAAGGGCTGTCCCTTCAGTGTACATCCCAAAATGAAGACAATGTAGCTCATGAGCAACTATGAGCAACTCATAGCTTTGTAGCATGAGCAACAAATAAATATTTATTGTTGTAAGCCACTGAAATTAGAGGAGAAGGGGTTATTTGCTACTGCAGCATAATATACTTTATCCTGACATGCTATAAACTGAATTATGCCCCACCCCCGACCCCCAAATTCATATGTTAAATCTCTAACTCCCCAATGTGACTGTATTTGGAGATACGACCTTTATGGAAGTAATTAAGCTTAAATGAGGTAATAAAGTAGAGCCCTGATTCAATAGATTTAGTGTCTTTATAAAAAGAAACATAAAGCTCTCTCTGATTCTCTCTCCCATGTAAGGACACAGTGAGAAGGTGGCTGTGTGCCAGCCAACAAGAGAGCTCTCACTAGAACCTGACCGTAGTGGCACCCTGATCTCAGAATTCCAGTCTCCAGAATTGTGAGAAGATCAATTTCTGTTGTCTAAGCCACACACACAGCCTCTGTTATTTTGTTATGGCAGCCTAAGCAGATGAGTGCATGCTCTTAAGAGATATGATCTATCAAATGCTAAGGTGCTAATGAAACTCAGAGCACAGGGCAAACCCAAGCAGCCCCTAAACCTTCTTCCCAGAATCAAGGCAACCTCAAAATACAAAAGGTCAGGGAAGGACAAGAAATGAACAATATTCAATAAGGCTCAGAGACAAAATAATTAGCATTACCTGGTGATTAAGGAGACAGTGCACCACAAAGATAAAAACCCCCTGCAGAACATTGATGATGGTGAACATGTAGGCAAAGATTGATCTGATTGTATTCCCAACTTCATTAACCATAAAAAATCCAAGGCCCCAAGAACAGCCCAGGACAAATAGCTGAGCAATGGCTTTAAATGTCATGACTCTGGAAAACAAAAAGAGTAATATTAGCTACCGTCTATCAGGGACTCCCTGATTGTTGGGCACTATGCTTAGTGCTTTGCATGCACCACCCTATTGAAATTTCATGACAACCTTATGTGGTTAAGTGGCTGTCACGAAGGATGAGGCAGAATCCATGTTTTCAATCACTGCCTCTGCAAATAACACTTTTTCCTACTCTTGGAAATAATTTTTCTGCAGTCTTTTACTTGGACTTATTGGAAGATTTTTGGAAAGTGCCTTCCAGAAATTTGTATTGAAAAATGTGGATCATGATGATATCATGACTTCAGAACATAACACAGTGTTGGATTTCTTCAAACAAAAACTGTCTGGAATGGGTTTGTTGACAGCCACGGACTGGGATAGCTGATGTGTGTGTGTGTGTGTGTGTGTGTGTGTGCGCGCGCGCGCGCACGCACGCACACACACACACACACACACACGTGAAGAGGTATGGGGAAACACCAAGAAGGGTGACACTCTGACTCTCCAAGATCAAAGAAACTGAAGCTAAGAGATGTTAGGCTGGTCTCAAAGTAGATGAGATCAAAGCCAGGTTCTGAAGTTAGACAGAAATTCCTTTAAGTTTTGTTCACATGACTCACCAGTGCAAGGCTCTTACCCACACCTGGGCAAAGTGAACAGTTTGTCCTCTTGTCAATGGGGTAGCAGTGCCCACACAGAGGTTGGAGTCATGTGCATTCAGTGAAATTATCTTGGAAATGCCCAGCATCTACTATGTTCCTACTTAATTGTCATTATTATTTTTAATAATTTAGATCAGCACCAGTGAGAACTGAGTTTCTACAATCAAGGAGAATGAAGTCCAGAAGTGGGTGGACTCTCAGAGGACAAAAGGGGGTAATGTTGATACTCTTAGAATGAATTTTATATGAAGAGTATGCTGCACAAAGGAGGCACCCAATGAATATTTGTTGATAAAAGGATGAGGGAGTACCTTAAATCACCTGAAATGTATAGTTTTTGCTTGTTCTATAAGTTGTCCCTCATGCACTCTTTATCTAGTACCAGGGAGTTTTATATCACATTTTTGTCTGGGTTTTTCTTTCCCAGGCAGAGTGGTCAGGGAGGAAAATCTGTAAATATCACTAATTCTGGTACCTTCTTACCTGGTGTCCTGAATGGTGGAAACTTCTTTATTGAGGGAGGAAAGTTTGCTTCTCAAAATCCACAGAATTTGGAAGTAGAACACCAAGTTTATCTGTGTAAACAGCATAAAAAATTGTATTGGAATTTTTTTTTTTGAGGCCACGTCCTGTAATCCAACTTGAGGTTGATCTAAGAATCTTTTCCTCAAAGACACAGGCTTCGTAAGGATGGCGTGGACATATGCTCTGGTCTAACTGCACACAGTATATAACCTGTGGCACTGGGTGTTTGATTAGGGTGGTTGTATTATTATCACTCAAACCAGGACACCTTGAAAGTGAAAAGGTGCTATTAACATCTATATTAGGACAATGGATGTAAATGCAAAGTCCCTGGCCAACAGGAAAACTTGTCACTCCATGCAGAGTAGATACTTGCTAAATATTTGTTGAATAAATGAATGTAGAATTTTTAAAAGAATGCCAGTAGAGGTTTATATTATATGAAAGCAACCAATGAACTAAGGGGATGCCAAGGAAAGACACATGCAGACAGTATTTCTAGTAAGGGGCATTATAACATTAGGATATATATATATATATAT